GCCTATCCTGAAGCTAAGTTGGTTCCCGTCCATCGAACAACATGCTCTTTGGTGCAGTCAAAAGTCGATAGATACCCTTCTCATGTTAACTCCAACTGCGTATACAAATTTACGTGTATCTGTGGGAGCAGTTACATTGGGAGAACAGAAAGAAGGGCACACCTCCGATTTTCTGAACATGTGCCAAAAAGCCTACGTCTCAAGGGAACAAACTCTTATAGCAGCGCTATTACTAGACATCTTCTCGACACGGGTCATGAGGTAGAAATCGAGAAATCCTTTAAAATTATCAATAGACAAAGGAGTTCCATTCTCCTCAAGTTTGCCGAAGCAATCTCTATCAAACGCTTGAAACCAGATTTATGTGTTCAGAAAGAAGCAGTTATTAATCTTTCTTTGCCCTGGTAACTGAATGTCTTTATTCTCTCATCTGATTACGTAATCTTTGTCTTTAACCTCACCCCCTTTTATATTCTGTAATTTTGCTTGTCTCTTGTTTCTATGATTTGAGTTGAACTCAGTACATTGTTACCTAATTTATTAGTCACTCTGTATCTAACTCATATTTCGTCTTTATTACGTAACTCTTTTACCATTGTATGCATACATCTATTTTGTTTAAACTTGAACTGCCTGTGTAAAAACTATATAAGCGCAATTTTCTGAGCACTGTTCACTTACTGTGGAACTTTTTGTCAACTGACAACATGTAAAAATTTGCAAGTATGTTAAAACTTTTCTGTACGCAAACCTCATAATTTATTTAGGCTGTAAGCAGCTGATGAGAAGCCTACGAAATAAATGATGGTACCATATTATTCTGCACAAACCACTGTTGTTCTTGCTTTATTCAAATTCATCAAGGGGAATAAATGCATGGAATCGGCGTAACTTTTTGAAAGAATCTGGGATGGCCTATTCTTTTATGACTTGAAGCTGTTCTGCTCTCGGTCGAATGTCTTGATTGTCTATCTGATGACTCAAAATTTTCATAGTTTTCTTACCGAATTCACATTTACTTGGCTTAATGACAATCCCATATTAGGCCTAACGTTTAAAGAGTGTTTCTAAGTGATGTTGTTGCTCCTCAGGTAATTTACTTGCGACCAGTATATCATCGATATCAGTGTAAGTGAATGTGAGGCCGTGCAAGACCTGGTCGATGAATCTGTGAAATGTTTGCGCTGCGTACGTTAAGCCAAATGTCAGACGGACGAACTCGAATAAGCCAAAAGCAGTGGTTACCGCAGGTTTGGGGTGTACTTGGGTTCGACAGGTATATGGTAGAATGCACGAACGAGGTCAATTTTGGAAAATATCTGAGCTCTTGCCATGTTATGAAAAAAATCGTGGATATGCGGAATTGGGTATCCATCTGCTATCGTCTGCGTATTTAAAGCTGGGTGTAGTGGGAACTACATTAATTTCTCCACCGGTATAAATATATATATATATGAAGCATTGTTTTAGGTGGAAATTCAGGTAGCCCAGTGATTCAAGCAGGCCACCAGCGTACAACGCGAATACAGATCAATTCATAGGCATTACTAAAGCAAGATGTAATGAATGCATTCAATTTTGGTAGAAGGCGTCGGTTGAATGCTCTGATCACTGTATTATATATACTACGAGAATTATGATATTTCTACTCATAATCGAGCGATGTCCATCTGCTACCACAGAACGTTTTTGTACTACTTATTACTTTAGTGGCACAGGCCTCTCCAGCTCCCAGCTTCTTCCGCTTTGTTTGTCTCATCACAAAAGTGAATGATTTGACAGCGTCAATATCATGTTCATAGTCCACAAGATGTTTCGTTATTGAACTGTTAGGCAACCCGACTTCAACTGTTGTCAGCCACCCTCGCAAATGCTCCACCATGGTGGTAGAAAATCTCAGTTTTGTACGATCTATGCACTTACATCCACAAACACAGTCAAAGTGATATACTCAGTATGAAGTATCGTCACTGTGGTTGACAACCCATCAACCATGGTTCCTAGTGCCAAATATTAATTGCTATGCCAGTTGCTCTACGAGAACCGCCTCTTGTGCAAAAGGTATCAGTTATGACTTAATTCAATTTCAACTTTAATACCGACTGACTGTACAGAAGAGCTCAACCTCGCTCACTGTGGAATGCATGTACATCTCAAATAGGATGAATTCACCAGCCCGGTTTCCACTGCTACTCACCACCCAACAAATGTCTTCAACACCCAGTTTCTGTATACACGCAGAAGGTATGAACAACCAATTTGTCTAACCTGATCCTTCCATAAGGTCACCAAATCATCTGGAGAGATTGATGATGAACACTTTGAGTCCCCATCCCATTTATTTTCGCCATGTTTGCCCTTCATTTCATTGACAAACGTTTATTTGCAAACCATTAACGACTTCGTGACCGTTCTTATTATGCATATTACTCCAGGTTTACGTGATGCTTCCCAAACCTGTTATCATATCTACACAATTCTGTTCATTCCACTATGTCAGATTCATTACTACCTGATAGTCGTCATCTAATGGTACTTCTAGTACTTACATCACACCACCGTTGTCATTGTTATTTGTCACCCATGAACTCATGTTAGGCGAATCCAATTTGTTGGTTCATTTCTCAATGTAATATCCACATTTCCTCTCACACCACTGACTACACTCACCCTTGAAATCTATAAACCTTTTAGCTTATATAGGCAACCACATCACTGAATTATTACATCCCATCTTATCTCATGTTATTATTGACCGTACATATTCGAAATGATAATGACAACTAACTGAGTATTACTCCATCTTGTACTTCTCCCACAATACACTTTCTCGTATAATTCTAATTTGCCTTTGCTGGTTATTGCTTGCTAGACTGAATGGATTTCTACCAGCAAAGCCTGAACGAGCATTAATCGAAAAAACGTGTTGTCTCCAACCATTCATATAATGTTTGCTAACTATTAGCTCATATACTCAGTCTCACATATATTAAGATAGGATTCATAATGTTGAATTCGACATCCTTTCCCCACAACACATTGAAAAAATGTAGCCAAACGAGATAAGACTATTCACTATGTAAACATATACCCTAATCAATTATATTAATAATAATTTGCTTTATTCCAAAACAGTACTTGTGATACAGAATGGAATTCTCAGCATTTTTACTACAGTATTGCATCCAGTTAGTACATTATCAATAAATAGAATTCTACATAGATTAAGGAAATCTCAGTTCATTATGACAACAACATATTGGCATGTCGGTAGCAAAGCCAAAGTTAAACAGTGTTTGAAGGTGTTAGAAAAGTGGGAGCTGTCTTATTAACAGGCGTAAGCGAGAGAAAGAGACAAAGCAGCACATAACGGAAAAAAGAGAAAAAAAGAGAGAGAGAAAAGGGAAAGAAAGAAAGAAAATGTTGTACCTATAAATGATGTGAGTTGGAAAGACGAGATCCACTTGTACTACTGACTATTTAATGAATTATAGGTGTCACGCCTAATGCTTTCTTTATCGCACAGAACACGAGCTAAGTTAAGCTCAAATTCAACAATCTGTTCATTGGTTGTTATCTTCATCAACTCATCCACTTGAAAGACCAAAATTACTTCTCAAAGTTGCAAGAGAACCTGAAGAATTCTCGCTTTTCCTATCCTCGCCAACTTTGATATCCTAATCTATGATGCCTGTAGTGGAAACGATGCTGACTTATCAGGTAAATGAGAGACGACAAGCATAACGATAAACTCAATTTCTTGATAGTAGCAAGACCAAGTGTACACTGACTGTTTTCCGTAATCAGGAAGGTTACTGTTTCACAACCTGAGCTTTAGGTATTGACTAACATGTCAACTACTCACAGGATGAGTGGTCGGTGATTTATATTTTCAAAAACCGAAACAGATATCTTCACCATCTCAGTAGTTGGTGCTAATCTTCCGCATTCACTAGACAGAAATGGTGACTTCCCTTATGCAACATAAAATTTGAATATATGCGCAATAGAGCTGGCGTCGAAATGTTTGATTTGCTGAGATTTAATTGGTCTCAAGTTATATCATAAACTGACATCGGTCGAAGAACTACTGAAAACCGAGGAGAACTGGATAACTGTATCATCCTGGTGTGCGATTCTTCACCCATGACCCCAGTAGGAGATCGAACGCAGAAGCTTTGAGTTACAAAGCCTCATTTCTGATCATTTATTCACCTGGACGAAATCCAACTGTCCATGAATTCTGATTTCTTCCACCTCAACATTTATAGCGCTGTCACCAGCACAAAAGTACCAACAAAACAAGAACTACATAATTCTACAGTACTGTAAAGCATTGTTCAAAAGGAAATCACCTTGGTAGATTTGCAATTATTGTAAAAGAAAGCTACTCAATTAGGTTTTCTCGTCCTGTTCAACGCGACAAGGGAAGAAAATTTCGGTAAATGATGAATGAGCCATCAATATTTTTATGCGAAAGATATAATGCATTCCTTTGCATTCCTAGAGGAACATAAGACTCCAAACTTGATCTTTGAAGTTTATATTAATGGAGGGAGACGTTACGCAGTTGGCATGCTAGGCACTTTCTTCCCTCTTTACAGAATTTCTTATTGCGTGGGAGAGGATTAGCAGCGCATCATCCGGGAATTGAATCCGCAGTACATGCCTGGTTAGTGACAATTATACCATTGAATTAACAACTCACTTTTACCGAAAACAACCAAGTTTAGACACGCATACATTTCCCTATAAATAACCAGCTGTTACATTTGTTTGGATAAGATTAGATTTAAAGAAAATAGGTCATACAATTTTCCCTAACACGTATGTAAAGGAACTCTGGTCACCATTAAAGATTAAAACCAATCAGTCAGTTGGAATTAACCTTATGCGATTCACCTGAAATACCAAAGCCTGATTGACAAGTCACTAATCTACCTGTTAATCTTCTTAGCGCGTATATATATATATATGCACATATTTCGGTGATTGTTGATAGTCAAACGAACAGAGAGTTCCGTCCAGAAAACACTCAACGTGAAGCAGAGTTCCTCAGAAATGCCCTCCGTTTACCAAAAATCCCTATTCATATCATGTCTATGCTTGTTCACGGTTACGTGTGTTGATGGGCTGATGAACGATACACTGAGAAACATGTTGCTGACTCTTCACAATAATGCAAGAGATGATGTTCGAAAAGGAGCGATCAGTGGACAGCCGAAAGCTATTTCTATCAAACACGTGGTAAGACGAATGCTTAAATGCTATTTTTAATTTGAGTATTTTTCTGAATGTTGTCTCTCAAGTGTTTCTCTGTTGGACTGTTGGAAACAGTGGAGTTTGTATACTCAGATTTTTCCAGCATGTGACGACAGGTACTCAACAGTTGGATGGAGATAAGAATTTATGCGCCACCGGATATCGTCTAACTGGTTGGATGGCTAACACGCTGCCTACTCAACTTGCAAGTTTTGATTTTGGTCACTGGTGGAGTCCAGTGCGCTTAACACAGATCGGTCTCAAACTAGTTTGCACACCTAGAAAACAATACTGCTGGCCGTTTTGAGATTTCCGCTATGTGTGTGTTAGTTGAAGATACTTTTATAAAGCTCTGTGAACTGACTACAATTTTAATCTGCCTAAACTGAAGTAGGAAATCACACAGTATTGTATATATATATATATATATATATATATATATATATATACCGAATGTTTGCTTTTGAATTGCTTGCATTCTCTTTTGTGGTATTCCTCAGAAATACAACATGGAGTTGGAGAAGAAAGCACAGAATTTATCTGATCAATGTCGTGTTGGACATGACACAGACGCAGAGCGTAAAGTTCCGCCATTCACATATATTGGACAGAATTGGGCGGGTGCAGCAACAGTCGAACTGTAAGATATTCAGTATTTAATTAAACTAGTCTTCGACATTTCACATGTTTTACACATTTTCTACTTATTACATAAACCTGAATAAATTAATTATTTTCATCGCATATATAACAATATTTCAGATGATGTCACCTTCATTCATTTGAAGTTATTTCATTTCTCCTGTTGGTTGATTTCCATTAAACGAAAATGCTCAGTGTCAGTTGATATGTAGGCTCTGGTGATTCCACGATATCTGCAGGTTAACATGGTGTAATTTGGTTGATGAATGGTTGATGATGCAGATTTCTTCCTGTTTCTCGCTTGTCAGCTAGACGCACATAGATTTCAAACAAGTGATGCTTTCCTCATACAGATGACCCCACTGGAGATGCATCTGAATCTAGCTGATGTGTCAAAAACAGGAAGAATTCCTTATGATGCTTATTGTGTCAGAGGGAATGAGTTATTTTGAACACGATCCAGAAAATAATCTGAGTGAATGATAAATATACTAAATGTGAGTAGTACTCCTTTGTGTACTTCGAGTCTTGTGAGATGACGCAGATTTGAGGAATCTTTTCATACTTCACACTGTAGTTGAACACGTGAGATAAATCACGATTTCTAAGGTGAGAGTGATTTCCTTGTCAGTTGTACTTATCAGCAGAGTATATGTGTCAGCAATACTGTGGTGGTGTGATATAGACAATGGCTTCCCACGGAATATTATCATCACAGTAAGAATCCTTGTATTTGTTGGTGTGTTAAAGTCTGAATACCTGTTCCCACAGTTCAATACTGACTGCACTAGCAACAGAAATAATATGTGTATTTGAACAATATATTTCGTTTCGTTTAATTTGAACTGAAATTGCACGCTCAGTGAACGATTGAAGGATATAAAGTGTGTGGATATAAATAGCTGTTTGACAACCTTAAAACTATACACCTTGACTTCCGTGTTTGGCCTTCTATTGTTACTTTACTTCTCCTCTCCATGAGTGGAACAGTATTGTGTGCTTTAGTGTATGGAACGCTGTTATACCATAAAGTGTAGTTCTCACACATGATTCACAGATCTTCAGTATGTTGCTATGCATCGTTCTCGCATCAATTGCAGAGTGATATCTTATCTTCATTATACATGATTTTTTGTATGAATTTTGTCCAATTAATTGATAAGTGACTTGTTATTTGTTTTCTCTTTAATATACTTTCAATAAAGCGGATTCAATTCATGGTTGAATGAGTATAAAAATTATGATTTCTACGGTAGTTATTGTTACAATGGTCAATGCAATAAATACACACAGGTAAGTAACTATACACTGATGAATCCATGTGACTAACCCATCAGTTTGTTGTTAGTGTTAACACCGTTAGAACAATAACAGATAATATTACGGAAATATATCAGTAGGACTTGCGTGAATAACTGCACAAATATCATCTACTCACAATTTGTGATACAAGCTTTTGTTTTGCTCATGAAAGATGGTGTGGAGTAGCAGGAGAACTGGGAATGATCACGTGAAGGATGCTTGATGGCTGAGTTATCGGGGTGGGTGGGGGGACAGATATGGTCTTGTTAAAATGAGGAATTACTTGTTTCAATGTTATTTGAACTGTTGTGCATATTTTGTATTTGACAATAATTGGACTTGTGACCTTTTACTTTTAAGTAATATAGTGGTGTACCTAGTTAAGGTTTGTTAGTGTTGTACGAATGCGCAGTTGACATTCTTCCGTCCTCCATTGGAGACGACAAGTTTGCAGGCAGAGTCCTTTAGTATGCAAAACGAGCACTCCAACACTCAACTACACTCCGAAGGCAGTCTAATTGATTCTAAAGCAACATCATCGCAAATAACAGATGGTTGTGAGAGTTAAGACGGGTAGGATTTATGCATTAGGATAGTTAACTGGAATGGGGGGAGTAAGGGAGGTTTACGGCTAAAATACAGACACTGAATCTCGTTTTCATTTGCGTTAACATACATGCTGACTGAAAGACGAACCAACAACCACACCACATTTTGTCAATCGCTGAAATTTTCTATTCTCCTGTCTGTATTTACATGGATTTGTATTGCAGATACATAGTCTGTGACACTAAAATTTCGCTTCTCGTGAGACATCCAAAGACTTGTTGATTGGTGGAATGATCACTTAAATTAACATACATTATGTGAATAGATGAGCAGATTAGTGCCAACGTCCATCGGTTTCGCCGCTATTCATTTCTCTTCGTATAAATATCCCATTTTCTGAGAATTCTACTCCTCCTCATCCTTCTCTTCCACTTCGCTTTATTCATTGCAGATTGTTTGGCAGAAAACTACCGATATAGGATGTGGCGTCACAAAATGTCCCTCTGCGCCATATGGATTGAGCATCGTATGCAATTATGGACCTGGGTAGGTTGTTCCAAATCATCCTATAGGTGAATACTAGTCTTAATGTAAATATATTATGTATCACCTACTGCATAATCATTTTCAACGTGATTTACTGATTTCCTGAATCGTGTATTCATTTTCAGCGGCAGGTACATCGATCAGTATCCATATGAAACAGACCAGACAGGCAAACTATAATCAGGCTTCCATATCACAAGCCTGTTTCAAATACACTCAGGTTATTCAAATCTCAGTCCAGAAAGTACTCAGTTTATCAACAACTAAATATAACGCGATAGATTTTGACATCTAATAACTATTGATTTGTTCATCATGATGTTCAGGATACGGTATTGTCTGTTTGTTTTCCTTTCTGTAATTTTATTTCAACAAATGTCTTGTTTGAGGTAAAAGGTCCTTACGGTCAATTGTGTTTGTTCACTGATGAGTTGAATATATTCTCACTTGCTTCCTTTTCTTCTTCTTGATGCTATTGATGTTGTTGATGTTGTTGTTCAAATTTACCAAAATAAAAATGTATATCTCTATATATTATTTCCCTACAATGCGTTACATCCTCACTTGCTTCTCTCTATTACATAATGACTAACAAATGATCACCTCCGCTCGATATTCGCTGATATTTTTATCTCTATAAAAATGGAAATCACATTCTCTTGTAGCTGAAATAATGTGCGCGTCAACTGTAGAACAAAAGTGTTTTGTATAGTGTGAAACGACTGTATTCTGTTTGGTCACTGAACGAATTGCATCAAACTATCATGTGATAGAAATACGATAATGGTATTCACTTGGTGATGTCATCAAGTTTAAGAAATTGCAGAATTCAATTAGTTGTAATCTATAAGAGACTGAGTAAATGAGCAAACAGTAAGGAAACATTATTTGAATACCCTCAAATATATTTCAATTGGGAAAGAGAATATCTAGCGAGAGAAGCATACTTTTCGATAAATCCTCGTTCAGGCTCTTCAGTTAGAAATCCTTTCAGTCTACCAAGCAATAACCAGCAAAGGCAAATTTGAATTATACGAGAAAGTGTATTGTGGGAGAAGTCCAAGATGGAGTAATACTCAGTTAGTTGTCATTATCATTTCGAATATGTACGGTCAATAATAACATGAGATAAAATGGGATGTAATAATTCAGTGATGTGATTGAGTATATAAGCTGAGAGGCTGACAGATTTCAAAGGTGAGTGCAGTCAGTGGTGTGAGAGAAAACGTGGATACTACATAGACAAATGATCAACCAACAAATGGAATGCGCCTAACATGAGTTAAAGGGTGACAAATAACAATGATAACGATGGTGTCGTGTAAGTTGTTAAAGTACCATTAGATGACGACTATCAGGGAGAAAAACAATCTGACACAGTGGAATGAACAGGATGGTGTAGATATGATAACAGGTTTGGGAAGCATCACGTAAACCTGGAGTAATATGCATAATAAGAGAGGTTACGAAGTCGTTAATGGTTTGCAAGTAAACGTTTGTCAATAAAATGAAGGAGAAACATGGCGAAAATAAATAGGATGGGGACTCAAAGTGTTTATCATCAGTCTTTAGAGATGATTTTGTGACCTTATTGAAGGATCAAGTTAGACAAAGTGGTTGGTCATACCTTCTGTGTGTATACAGAGACTGAGTGTTGAAGGCATTTGGTGGGTGGTGAGTAGTAGTGGAAACCGGGCTGGTGAATTCATCCTATTTGAGATGTACATGCGTTCCACAGTGAGCGAGGTTGAGCTCTCCTGTACAGTCAGTCGGTATTAATTTTGAAATTGAATTAAGTCATAAGTGTTACCTTTTGCACAATAGGCGGTTCTCGGAGAGCAACTGGCATAGCAATTAATAATTGGCACTAGGAACCATGTGTTATGTGTTGTCAACCACAGTGACGATACTTCATACTGAGTATATCACTTTGACTGTGTTTGTGGATACAAGTGCATAGATCGTACAAAAATTAGATTTTCTACCACCATGGTGGATCATTTGCAAGTGTGGCTGACAACACTTGAAGTCGGGTTGCCTAACAGTTGCATAACAAAACATCTTGTGAACTATGAACATGATATTGATGCCGTCAAATCATTCACTTCTGTGAAAAGATAAACAAAGTGAAAGAAGCTGGGAGCAGGACAGACCTGTGCCAGTAAAGTAATAAGTAGTAAAATAACGTTCTGTGGTGGCAGATCCACATCGCTCGATTATGAGTAGAAATATTATCATTGTCGTAGTATATACAATACAGTGATTAGAGCATTCAACCGATGCCTTCTACCAAAATTGAATGCATTCATTACATCTTGCTGCATTAATGCCTATCAATTGATCTGTATTCGCGTTGTACGCTGGTGGCCTGCTTGAATCACTGGGCTACCTGAATTTTCACTCAAAACAATGCTTCATATATATAAATATTCTTTAATGCTTATTGTTCTTAGCATTCACTTATGTCCTCGAGTGTCGAAATATACTTCGAGGAGGAAACATTGTCTGATCCTATTTCAAAGGACAATTTGTTATTCTCCCACACAATAAACATTGGTTTTAATTCATAAAGGCAATTTATGTGGAAAACTTGAAATCTACTAAGAAACCACAATTGGCTTAAAATAATGCCTTCCAGTTAAAGCTTCATGGGAAAACTCTCTGCTCAGTTGCCTTTACTATGCCATTCAGATGAATATGAAAGCATTTGCAAATACATTTTTGAGTTATTTAAATAAAGCAAGAACAACAGTGGTTTGTGCAGAATAATATGGTACCATCATTTATTTCGTCGGCTTCTCATCATCTGCTTACAGCTTGCAAATTTTAAATGTTGTCAGTTGACAGAAAGTTCCATCCAATATCTGAAAGCCACTAATTCTCATTGTGAATCCGGTTGGCGATCACACTGCATGGCGTAGAGTTCTTTGAGAGCAGGAATATGCAGTCTTCTCACTGCAGTTTATTGTAAATGGAAGATATTTTGATCGAAGATTTTACCTGACTAACCACATACTGCGTTATTCCATTGAGAAATGCATCAGAATCGAAAAGTGCACTGATGAATGTATGTATGCAGGTGTGTGATCAGTATTAGGCAGAGAAATTTTCAACAGGTGAGTATTGTTCACTTATCTTGGTGTGCAAGCAGCACGAATGAGATTGTCAGAGACATGGCCGGAAAAGTAAAATATTCATTAATGTTAAGTCAGTGTAGAAATCAACTGCACTCAGAATTATTATATTATCAGTAGTATTATTATCATTGTTTGCTTTATCTCCTAGAGGAACAAAAGTTTCAGCCTCACATCTCCATTGCGTTCGGTTCTCTGTGAACATTTTTGCCTGGCTCGACGTCTACCCACGTGCTTTCACCTCCTCTTCGCATGACCTCCTCTATGTCACCTTCGCATTGACGACCGACTCGCCACTTCCTGTTTAGGTCGCACTCGAGGGTCTGTCTTTTAATGTCACTTGGTGGTTTGTTTTCTCAGAGCATGTCCAATCCACCTCCAATTCTTCCTACACATTTGTTACACAGTCGGCTCCTGGTTGGTTTGCTCCCGAAAATCCCTGTTGCTGATCTTTTCTGGCCGGCCATCTCATTTTGAGTAGTAATGAGCGAAGACAGCTTTTGATAAACGTCTGTAGTTTGTTCGAAGTGGTCTCGGTGACGCACCAAGTCTCTGATCCATGTAGTAAGTAGCACTGACTTCACATTGGAGTTGAAAATTCGCATCTTATTTTCGTTGTCATGTTGAGTGCTGTTGACCTCCACACAGACTTGAGAGAAATGAAAGCTTGCTTGCTTTCGCGATGGTCGCTTTGATATCCTCATCAGTTCCAACTGTAGTGAAAAGGATGCTTTCCAGGTAGGTAGTTAGGTGAAGGAGGTTGCTTCTTCAGATTTCCCCAATTTATGCTGATTGTTTTCTGTTGTTGTTAGCCAGAAATATTCATCATCTCTGTTTTTTCTACGTTCACCTGAAGGATTACATTTGATGCTTCTTCTTTCGCCCACTTGTTGCTCTTCACTTGCATATCTTCCAGTTTGTGGGAAATCAGACAAATATCATCAGCGAAGCCCAGATCCTCCAAGTTTTTGTGTGGGTTCATTTTGTGCCTGTCTCCTAGCTGACCGCTGTCTGTCTGCCGCATTATCCAGTCTACCACAATCAAGAAAATCATCTGAAATAGTAGGCAGCCAGCCAGCTTGTCTTACTCCCGTCTTCACTTCGAAGGATTCCGTGAGTTTCCCGTCTTGGACTACTTGGAATGCAGCATTGTCATACAATTGTTCGATGAGATTCATAATAGTTGACGGCACTCCATAGTAGCAAAGTATTTTCCAAATGATCTCCTGATCGAAGTCGCGCTATCGAAGGCCTTTACAAAGTCAATGAAGCTGAGGTAGAGAGGTGACTTTCATTCCAACCTGTGTTCAATAATGATCGATGCATGACTTGTGTCAAATATCCTAATCACTGATATCCTGGACCTATCACTGCTTTGAGAAGATTAAGCTTAATGCTCAGTACACTATGCACTACAACCGACACGGAACAAGTGAAAACGGTTGGGCAACACGAATATTTATTCTTCACGCGAAAAAGAAAGAAATTCACAGTGGCTGATCAGTGCTACAGTCTGTTAATAATAATAATCTACATTATTCCAAAAACAGTACTTGTAATACAGAATGGAATTATCAGCATTTGTCAAAATATTGCATCTGATTAACTCAAAATATAAATTAAATTAATAGTTAAAACAAAATTAACCGGAAGAATTTGTCCGCGTTTACGATATAAAGTCAAAAATATTCGAAGCACGAATTGAGATTATTAAATATAATAATAATAATAACAGTTTGTTTCAAACAGTATTGTCGATTCAGTTTGGAAACTTTAGCATGTTATAAATTATTGGATCTAATGTTATGTTGATATAGTATAGTGAGGGGAAATACAAAATTAAGTTATAACACAGCTTAAGTTACGCCCATACTTTTGAATAAAAAAATAAACAAAAACAGAAAACTGAGAGTATTACAAACATAAGAAATACAATAACAGTAAAGTTTGATGTTGTAAGTGTGGAGGAAATGGTTTATTTAGCAGTGCAAAGAAGGTTAGTTAGTTCATACCTAACCCTATTTTCATCACATGAAGTACGTGCGAAAAATGGTATAGTGGAATTTTTATACTTAGACGTACGTGCATAAATTCTTCTGGAAAGACTTCTTGTTTTACCTGAGGAGACACAAGTTTGGAGCTGCGAGTAGATTGGGTGACGAAATTCCTTTAGCAAATTTTTTGCATGACACCAAGTGCCTATCAGTGACAGTGTCAACGATATGGTTCAATGGGATACCACTCATCCTACTGACAGTCTTCAGAGTTCTATGAAGCATGACATAGTCTTTCTTAAGCAATCCAGGAAAGAATAAGGGTGAACAGTAAAGTAGAATAGGTAAGATACACGATTTGACAAACTGTAAGAGGATTATGTCACTTACGCTGGCAAAGCGAACAAGGAATGCG